AAGGGCATACGTTTTCGTCTGGAGCTCATTTCCGGACGAAAAGATAAAGCGCTTGCATATAAACTGCTTCGATCATTCATAGTATAACCTATAATGACTACGTTTTATATCCCCCACAATCCCCACCCCACAGTGGGCTACCGTGATGGTGCATAAATGCCATTGCTCATATCCTTACATCCCCTCGTTTCTAAGCCCCTCTAAGACCCCAAACGGAACAGATAACTGATTTTCTAATTTGGAAAGAGTTACGAGGAAGGAAAATAATGTATTACTCTGAAGACTGTTTCTTTTACCGTTTTGCTAATGTACAAAAAATAATGAGGTTTAATGCAAATAGGGATGTTTTATGGATCGGTATGTTTTATTTTTTTTAAATTAATTAATGATTGATGGCTAAACTAGAGTAACGATGATACCATGGAGTTCCAGGTGTCCATGGGCGACGCCGATTGCTTACCTGATGGTAAGCGGTGATCCGTCTACTCGTTTACCGGCTTATGCCATAAAAAAAAGTCTTCAATTTACTTTAAACTTATGAGTGAACACCTCATCAACGTTCTTGACCAAAATAATAATATTATTATTTTAGATCTGACTAAACTTCATAAAAACATCAGAGTTTTAAACCATGCTAAAGCCTTTCATAATATAGCCTCAAATCCCTAATCACTAAAGCTTTTAAATGTAATGTAATATACCATTTCGATACGCTCGTGACAGCTTTCATATTGAACGAAAATTACTCCCTATAGCAACGTAAATTTTCTCACAAAGCTCGGGTGTTTAAGGTCTAGATTTAAATATCTGCTTTAAATTTAAATTAACTACCCGTTGGGTAAATATAATCGTTATTACTTAAAACAGTAAGACTATTTTACTTTAAAAGTGATAGTGGTTTAAACTAGATGTACTTATAAATAAAACCACAGAGTTCATCACGGTACCAATTTAACTGAATCTGGTTTTTAATTTAACAAACCACTTTCTTGATAACAATCTAGGAAGTGAGTCAGACAAATTAAAGTCAATTAAACGATCGATGGTGCAGGGGAGAGCGCACCAGTCTGGCACAAGGATGCCACCCCCAGCCAGAACGACCGTACCCCACCGCGGTACACCCAAACAAACTTACCCTTGCGAACCCCTTGTTATTTTTCCACTTTCCCAGAAAAACGTTGCCGGCTGTTCGGTCGTTACTAGCTATTTGCAATGTAGCCGCCAAACCGTTCGCTGGGTTATCAAATATTGGCGCAATTTTTCATGGTCCTTATCCTAATATTTTCTTCTAATTAGCAAACTGTTGAAACGTTTATCGACAAAGATAACGACCTCACAGCTGATTTATGTTTACTTACCACATTTTGTATATCAGTAGGCAGTGTTTATAATCTTACGCATTTGGTTATCGCGTAACAGTACATTTGTTTACTGTTCCTCATGAAGTGACGCGATCGCGACCCCCGACCTCTTCGACTTGTGAAATCGTCGTAATATCTATAGGGCTGGTACAATGTAATAAGCGTCTGCGTCATTACTACTCTGTGCTCTCGGTGTCGCTTCCGGTAACTAACGTTACTCCATTACGAGAGTGCTCGAGACTCAGACGCAATCAACTATTGAGACGCACTCTCGTGTGTAGGAGTTATTGTATTGCAGTAACAATCCATGTTGCCATTATGTAAATGGAGTATATAGTGAGTTGACAACCCTAGTTGAGGTTGTATAGAGCGGCTGGGGCGCGAGCGGGGTGCGGCGGGAGTGCGCGCGCACGTGCGGCGTCGCCAGTACTTGTCCGCGGCAGAGACCGGCGCGTGGCAGTCCGGCCGCCCCCGCAGCTCGCACCGGTCCCGGCGCTGCCGGGCCTCCGCTCGGATGCCGCTGCCGGCCGCCGCCTGCGATGGTCCATGCCGGGCCGGCCGCGCGCGCGCCCTCTCGCGCGATGTTCGCCGCCGCTGAGAGCAAACCGCGTCGCGCCGTCTCGCCGCTCGGAATTCCAAAGTCTCCGTCGTTCCATTCGGGCTTGGATCTCGTCGCCAACCAAGCGGCCACCAAGCGCTCCGAGAGCGTGTCGGACGTCGCGCGGGCTTTCCGGTTCGCGCTGTTCGCCGGCTCCGGCATGGAGGGCCAGGGCCCGCAGCAGAAGGCGCCCTCGCCGCCTGACGCGCGCAGCCCGCCACCCCCCGCCGCGGCCGCTGTCTCGCCCGAGCGCCCCACGCCGATACCAAATGCCGATAAGGAAAGTTTGATGGTGCAGCTCCCCCCGCTGAAAGGTTCGTCGGTAATATCAACAATGCCCTCGTGTTGCCTTTGCAGATAACAGACATCAAACGCGGTGAAACCAGAAGATTCTTAATATGTTTACAAACCTCCAGTGTTTGCAAAGTTTCGGCATCCGCGTGCGAAATAGCCGCGTCTATTTGTGGTTTATAGTTATTGAATTGAACGTAAACCTAAACAAACTGCGTCGAAGAAGACGTATTCCAATACAACTATCACGTTCACGTGTGTCGCAGATACCTAAACTATAGTATCGATACCAGTAGTCGCCCACACCTCATCACTGTCAGCCTTGAAGAGACTAATCGGACTCACCGACCCGAAACAATGCGGCTGAATCACTGAAACTAGTTATTGGCTATATGACGTGCGTACATATACTATAGACGTAGAGGAAATGGCGAAAACGCCGCAGAAATATATCGACCCATCGGCGGCCAGCGGCCGGCCCCGTGCTGTATGTATGCCATGGGAAATGTATTGCGACGTCCTTGCGCCCTGCACCGCAGTACCAGCGACAACTCATGCAACGCGGTATTATTGACCACAATACAGGGACAGCTTCTGAAACTGCTATAAACCGACCTTTTTGTTTCGCTAATGAGCAAAATTAGCGCGACGAGGTCATTTGCCTATTCCAGTGAGCTGTTTGTACTCATCAACAGAATCATAGAACATTTTGTTCATATCATTTTGTAGGAACATTGTTGAACGTTGCTTTGAACATTTGCAAAGATATTTGTTTATAAGTTATATTAGGAACGCATGGGTGAAAATGTCTCTAGCATAATTAATAAAACGAAGCATAATGATGGTATGGTTGAAGATATTTTGTAAATTAAGACTAAACAACTTAGTTCTGTTGACATAGGTACATGATCTCATACTGATATCACAGAAGCCTTGAGAACATTTAACTATACATTCCAATTACACATTTGATAAGCCGCACTTTCCAACTAGCGTTGGTATAGTGAAGCAAAATTTAAATTAATATCACAATTACTCGGGAGATGTGATGGTAATAGAAATCAGATAAGTTATCGGATCCTACCTAACAGTAGGATACTGGTACAAACCATACCGTGTTCCATAGCTATTAATCAGAACGCGAATACTTTATGAGACAACAACTTGTAAACACTTTAATAGAAAAACATCCACGTGACCTTACTATTGACTCGTGTCGCAGATCGACCCAATCATGGAGATAATATATTATTATTACTACCGTAGATGAGCTTTCTAAATAATTAAATTGTATCCTTCCTTATTGTACTATGACCACTTTACTTTTATATAGTACGCGAAAACCTCAGACCCATTACTGGGATCCCGGCCCCTAATTTGAGGCTTTTACACTTTTACGAAATTGGGTGATGGAAGGAAAAAATCGAGGCATTTCCTACGATTTTTCTTGAACCGTGTACAAGCAAGGAGCTTTCGAGTTTCGTCAGCTATTTAAATGTCCCCTTTTGTTTCTTTAGGGCACGCATTTGGGACATTACTCAGCGGTCCCCTTGCAAGGGTGTCTGGTGCGGGTGACAAATTTATTACGAAAAGAAGCACTGAATTGTTGGCAAAACCTTCTTTTTACTTAAACTATTGTTCTTTTTTGCTTGAATATTGAGTCGTAAATCTTGGAATACATTACTCTGGCCCTCAAGTGGAGAAAGCCCTCGTTTTGTGCGTGTCTTAGCTGTTTTGTTTTAATCCAAGGGTCATTGTCTTTGATGATGCTAGTACTTACCAATCTTCTTAAAATCCCTCATTAAGTTAACGCAATTCTGCTTCAATTTTAAAGTCGTTTTCAGTGGCATTTGCTTGTACAGAAGAATCATTAACCAAATATCATATGACAAACGGCTAATGGCTGAATTTGACATATTACTTATGTTCTAGGTTCCTTCGACATTTGTATCTTGATTCCCCCTTTCACAATTGAGGAGGCAAACGTAGACCACTGTAATTTCCCCTTCAATATTAATTTACTTGTACCCGAAAACTTGGAAACTAGTTTGACAGTTGTTGTTACGTGTTTCAAAGTTTAATTTTGTGGGTAATGTGTTGTGAGTTGAAGCAGCTGGAAGTTTCAAAATTCAAATGTAACTGAATTGAAAAGTAGAATCCTTATAAGTCTTCTTTAGCTTGGTTGTCTCAATACCAAATGTTTACGTATGTTTTTAATGTTATAATGCTATATCTGAATATCTGAACTGATGGTCCAAAGTTCTCCGTGACAGCCAATAATATAGAATATTCTTATAAAATGTTATAGTAAGAGATGAAAACCATTTAAGTTTTATATATCTTGTTTAAAAGTTTGCGTATTATTAAAGTTTGATTAAAATATTTTATTGCAATATTTAAAACTTTAACTCTGCAAGAACCGTTGTTGTTCATTGGTCTTTGTTTCAACTTGCTGAATTGATCTTTAATAGTTAATTAGAGACCTGCTTGCATTAGTGTAATAAAGAAGTTCATCTTATTGAATGGTTATGGGGTGAAAATACCATTCGTCATGCTCTGGAACTACATAGATTATTTGCAGCTATTATGAAAAAGTTCGTAAATTTTCCCCTGTGAAAAATATAGCTAAGTAGTTATTGAGCTGTTGCACATATCTCGTTTCTTGTTAGAAACGAGATATGTAATTACCTGTATCACTAAAACTCTTCTCAGTAACAATGCCCTTCACTAAATATCTCTTCTCTCACCAGATGCACCAGCGGCGGAGCGCGAACAGCTGTTCGTTCAGAAGTTGCAGCAATGCTGCCTTCTCTTCGACTTCGCAGACGAGCCCCTCTCCGACCTCAAATGGAAGGAGGTCAAAAGGGCAGCACTCCTGGAAATGGTTGAATACGTGACGTCACAAAGAGGCGTTATTACTGAACCTATATACCCTGAGGCGGTTAATATGGTGAGTAGTTGGTACTTTGATGCATTTTTTCTTTGTAGGATTTATACCTCTTCATTTTTTACGTTCTGTTTTGATGAGATGAAGTTTCTGTTACTTTAGGTTATCCGAAGATGAGTGTCATCCCTGTTTTCAATTAATAGGACTATTAAATTAAGTCACTGTAAAAGCAAGGCGTTTTCTGTCCCACCTCCCTAGTAGAACAAAGCATTATGAGGTTATACGATTGTCCCAGTGGTCAGAGTAAAGGAAAATCTCAATCAGACTCAATGGTTAATAATAATCGTACCGAGAATTCAGAAAATTGACACAGATACATTTCTTCTAATATAGACGAACATTACCTTTCAAGCAACACTAAAACCTACTATCCAGTTTAAAACAGAATCACAATTTTCAATCAGCCCTCAACGTCGTGATGAACTGAACGTCTCACAATGCCAGTAACGCCTTTGAAACAGATAAGCTTACGACAGCTCCTTGGCTTGCACATCCGAGATCCAAGATTGGCTCCCCTGTAGAAGAGATAAGCCGCTCTAGACATTCTAGGGGTATCTTGTGATGAATATTTTTAATCTTAACGACCGAGCAAGGATGTATCTTGCTTTAGAATTTTTTAGATTCTCTTTTACTGCGTTAGGGAGCTTTAAGATGGTTAATTTGTATAATATTATAGAGTATTGATTGTATTGTAGTAGTAGTCTAAATCATAAAGTGAAAAATTCGTGTAGTTATCAAGTCGGACGAAATTAAATCTTCATAAGTTTTCATAACTCTTAACAAACTTTCCAATTTTTTTTTAATAGGACTCTCTGTTACTTCCTCAGCTAATCTCTGTAAATTAACTCGTCGAGTACCGGTTTTGTAGACACAATTATAGAACAATAGGTTGCGGTCACCGGTGACCGCTTGGTGTTTGACAGTTTAAGAAAAAACAAAATAACAATGTATTCTAAACAAAATACAGAAAGTAAATCATTGATCTCTTATTAACATACTTTTTTATATTCTTAAAACAAAATGAAGGGAAGGTCCTCAATTTTTGTATAAGTAACTGGCACAATGAACATTGAAAGTCCGGGAGCCTCGCTTCATGAAACTCGGATTGTTTTCGAAGACCCCGCAAACGTCCGGGCTTAAAAATACCCACATTAATTTGACTTTTTTCTTTTTTAACTACCCTACATTTTTGTTTGGAAAGTATCCGAAGATTTTCTCGCTTAAGTGCATTCGACAAAGGGAATTGTTTACGGAAGTTTTTAGGGTGCGATTGTTGAATGGAGAATTGGATGGTTTTATTATCTTCTACTTTTGTGTTTCTGCGGTGAATGGTCTGACGTGATTGCAGTATTGAGGTTTCCTGGATTCGAAAAAGTATATGTTTTCTGGTTTTTCCGTTATGACCCTTTTTTTAAAATGAATCGTCTAAAGACTTCTCTCGCCTTGGGTAAGAGGGAGTGTCAGACTTACTGACTAAAAGCCCTCCCGTTCCTACGCCTGCTTTGAGCCTGACCCTGGCAACTAGGTTTCCTAATAACTCTGGAGTAGAAATGAGTTTGGCATGCGGGAGTAAACTGGGTGCTTAGTTAGAACAACGAGACTATTTGCTGTTACTGCTTAACCTCTTGGTACATAAAATACATAGAAAATACTTTGTGTGGATTTGCGTTCCGGCACACGACAGGCTGATATTTTGTAGTTACCTACTTACTGAAAGTAATTTTGTTCTCCACTCTCCAAACTACTGATAGGTCAAGGGCGATTCAAGTCCACGTAAGGACGTGAAGTGGAACTCACAGTCATTTATTATTACTGAAGGCCCTTGAACATTTGGAAGGCCAAGGTTTTACTTAGTGGAATATTTATGAGCTTTCACTAACATCTGTTTAGTTTTCTATTGGATTAAAATCAATGTGTAGAGAGATATAATTATAAATGGAATTAGTTTTGTTGTATAACGATATTTAGTTTTGGTGCCTTCTTACTATCTCTTCAAGACAAGAGTCCCAAGATTTCGCTAAAGTTGGGTCTCCAGTTTACTAGTTAACACGTGATGAATATTGCATCACTAAACCTAAATCGCAGTCAAAACTTTGCTCCTATCTTATAGGCTCACCCCCTTTACATGGGACTCATAATGTTATGTTATGTTACTTTGCTCTTAAATTCTGAAAGCAAATAAATACGAACTAAAAATTAGTCCAGGATTCCTCATTGATCCAAACTTTCCGTTTTTCTCTACCACTGTGACACATGTGAAATAGTTATGCTATAGAATTCTAGTGGGCACGTACATTATCATACGTATATCTCTATATCAGTTTAATTTATATGTCCAATTGAATTCTGACGAGACAATGGCTCGAGCATTGAATGGGATTTCATCGCTTACAGACAAATTGTTTATGAATACTCAATAAAGATGTCTCGTATATGGCAGAGTATTTATTTTCTTTCCTAAGTACTAGTACATATTACTGATAATAAGATGGGAGATGGATAGACGCATGTTTGTTCATCTATCAAGATTGGACTGCTGAATAGATCTAAAAACTTCCTAAATTTGCAATAATATATGGGTCTTTAGGATATTGCGATCCAGTTGGATATTTTTTTTACTGAGCTTGCGTGCAAAACCACTGGCAGAAGCTATAGTTTTTATAATAACTATCATGAGACATACTAAATTAACTAAAATTGCGGATTACTCACATGAATATACTGAGAAAAGCTCTACTAGTTTCGAACCACAGAGGAGTGCTTCCTCATGAGCAGCGTGCGCGGTCGCGGCGACGTCGCGCAGCTGAAGTAGTTAAAGAAGCTTATAGTCTTTAGAAATTAACTGAATGTTTGCTAACATGGTGTTCAGTTCGTTGGAAGTGGTCTGATTAGATTTTTTATATCTCGCTCATAGTCGAAAATCTTTTTTGGTTTTAATAGTTTTTTCATCTTGGCGTCTCAAGCACACTTTACTGCATAATACTACTTACTTCAACATAGAATAAATATTTTATCGTCTGAAATGTTTCATGATGACTAATTTTTTTTTAATAGATAGGTATCTAAGCAATTGAAGCTATAAAACTGTTCTTTATTATCTGTATAATTTATCTTTTGATTACCTTTCTTTAAGTACCTAGTGGTGATTAGAATTATCATCTGACATTGACCTAGTTTTTTGAACTCTAAATCGATAAGCTGATGCATTAATTTTCCGTCAATTATTGTCAGAAAGGAAAAAGCGATCGCAATAGATTTTAAGGTTTTGACTGTCAATAGAAAACTGTTGAACACAAACGTCTGTCACCGGTGACTCCCATGGCGTTCAATGTGTTAATTTTAATATTGAGGATAAAAACAATGCTCTTGTACTTCAATATATTTTATATTTATGTTCATTAACAAGCAAAATTTTAACAATAGTTTTGTGTAAGCGTGAAATGTATGCGAGGGCTATGAAAAGATTGAAAACATCTGTTCTGTGTACTAACAAAGAAAATAGGGCTTAGTTTCCTTGGGCGCAAAGTCCACAATAAAACTAACTAACGTACATCATTTCTATATGACCATGCTGCGATTGAAACAAGCCATAGTACCTATAGGTGTTGGATCGTCGAAATTGAATTGTCTTTCAAGTTATTCAAGTGTTTAAAAGGGACTCGCTTCAAAGACTAGATTCTTCGGTCGTTGGAAGATTATTGTCTTATATGTGTATACATATAATCGAATCCTAGGAAAGTGAAAAGTGTACATTGAATTTTTTTTTTAAAGAATGCTTTGAGCGTGATCTTTGGGCGTCGACTAAACCAAAAATATGGTTTTTTGAATTTTTGTCTGTTTGTCTGTATGTATGTCCGGGATGAGCTCAAAAAGTGCTGCATGGATTTACTTCAAATTTTGCATGTGCTATCAACGAAGGGGGAGGAGCTATGAATCACAATTCCACGCGGACGAATACGCGGGCTCAGCTAGTAGTTAATAAGGACACTCGATTTCTTTCTAGTTTAGTTCTAAATGTAGTTTCATTCAAGATGAACTTATGTGATTTCAGCATGATCATCAAAGTTCAATGAACCTATCTGTTATAGTTTTTCTTTTAATAAAGGTAGACTGGTAGAGAAAGCACAAGACTATCTGCATACTACAACATCGTCCTTCTAAACCTCACTTTTTTATTGCCACTAACGAAGATTGTTCTTTCCGCAGTTCGCGATAAACTTATTCCGGACACTACCGCCGTCGTCGAACCCCAATGGTGCGGAGTTCGATCCTGAAGAAGACGAGCCGACGTTAGAAGCGGCCTGGCCTCACCTACAACTAGTCTACGAACTGTTCCTAAGGCTACTAGAGTCGCCTGACTTCCAGCCCAACATCGCCAAGAAGTATATCGACCAGAAGTTTGTTTTACAAGTAAGTTGAACTTTATGTTTCTGTTAATAATGACTATTTTCAAGTGAATACTGCTATGAATTTCTTAGACCAATTTCTTACTAAATTACACTTGTATGTAAGAATTGGTGGTAAGTTAAAGAAGTGTTAATTAAACTGTCAAATACCAAGCGGTCACCGGTGACCGCAACCTATTGTTCTATAATTGTGTCTGCAAAACCGGTACTCGACGAGTTAATATTAATTCTAACTCGTGGAGACATGTATGTGATAACAAGCAATAAGAATTTTTGTCTCACAGAATACTAGTATGGATTTTTTTTATGAGATTATCTGGTAATCGAGCAGACGGATCACCTGATGGTAAGCAATCGGCGTCGCCTATAGACACTCGCAACACCAGAGGCGTTACAAATGTGTTACCGGCCTTTATTGTGCATCTACCACCCATTCCCAGATTCTTTTCAAAAATTCCATCCAAAGGTTGTCTGGAAGAAATCGCCGCGTGTGATAAGACCGCCCATTGTACTCAAAATACTATTGAAATGCTTACAATTTTTTTCTATGTGTACAATAAAGTATAAATAAATAAATACCGGCCTTTTGGGGATTAGGAGATTGGAGAGATTGGGGAGGGGGGATAATTGGGTCTTCAGTAACTTCACTCACACGACGGAACACAACCCAAGCATTGACGTCGGTTTTCTGCTCGGCCGTGGTATCGCTCCGGTCGAGCCGGCCCATTCGTGCCGAAGCATGGCTCTCCCACACTTAAATATGAATATAATAATTATGTATTTGCTATCATTAAATAATCTGAAGAAAATAAATGTCTATTTGACATTGAAAGTTGTATTCTGCTCTTTATAATCATCATTAGGTAATTATGGTATCCAAGGATAAATTACAGGGAAAATGACTATATAACTAAATGTAGTTGGGTAGATCTAGGTTAATTGTTTATTTTGATCTTGGTGTACGAAATGTGGTTTTTAATTTAATATAGAGGTATTGTTACATTATAAAAATATTAAGTTACTAAATTGTCATTGGTTATCGATCAAGATTAATTAAATAGGACCTCCATTCCGTAGCAAATTTGTTTATCATGTCATTGTATGTAAATAACATAACATCGCGCCTTTTATCCTCGAAGGGGTAGGCAGAAGTGCACATTACGGCACTTAATACCGCTGTCCAATGTAACACCCACTTTTTACTATTTATGCTATGAGTACCATGTAGGGTGAGCATATTGCCATATACTAGGCACAATTCCAGAATCCGTGCTACCACTGAGAAATTTAAGAAAAACTCAGCAATACTTAGCCTGACCCGGGAATCGAAACCGAGACCCCTTGCCGTCGCACTTGCGACAACTTGGCCAATGAGGCAGATTGTATGTAAATAACAACAGTTAATTTCTTTTATAATCACTGAACGCCAGGATCACATGAATACAAACTTCGTTCTTTGATCTCCTAAAAGGAGGTCAATAAACAAGGAAGGTTAGCTCAAGGAAAATCGAGTATTTGTGAAAAAATATTGTTTTTGAAGTCTAACAAGTTTAGTTTCGCCCTTGTAAAACTTGAGCCTCTTTGTTAATGGTATCAAATACCAATAGATGTTTTACATTCTTGTGTAAATAATGTTCTTTTAATTTTTGTAGAAAAGTTTCTATATTTACTGAATATTTAATGGCTATGGGGTTCGTGACCTACCAAGTGGCAAGTGCCAATATGACTTTCCGAGCTATATTTACTATTTAAGATTATTTAGACACCACTGACAAACGGTGAATGAAAACATCGTGAAGAAACTTGGGCTTATAATCTCTAATTATAAGTTCGAAATCGCCAACTCGCATAGAGCAAGCGCGGTGATTAATGCTCAAACCTCCACCGTGTGAGAAGAGGCCTTTGGTCAGCAGTGGCCACTTATAGGCTGTTGATGTGTTGTGGTAGCTAAAACGTCTCCATTATAAGACTAATTCGGAAGGCGTCATGTTGTAAAGTATGTACTTGCATCTGTATTATTCTGGGTACTCTATACTCCTGAACTTCTTGAAATGCGATCTAAAACTGGCCTGCTAAGCGTAAGCGTAAAGGGTTGCCGGGGCTCCGGTTCCAAGTGCAGGAGTAGGAACGGGGTGGTTTTTAGTCAGTAAGAGTTTGACACTGCCTCTCGCCTCACTCGGGGGGCAGAAGTGATTGGATGATTTTCCCCTCTCAAAAGCATAGATATCATGGTAAAACCCTTTTATAGTCCAAAAGCGGGCTATCACAGGCTATCACTGTTAATGTTGAGGTTATGGCCAGGATCTTACGTGACTACTCCTGTCAAATTTTCCATCCAGTCATATTAAAACCTTTATATCACTACATAGTATAAAACAAAGTCGCTATCCGCCGTCTGTCTGTCGCTATATATGCTTAAATCTCTAAAACTACGCAACGGATTTAGATGCGGTTTTTTTTAATAGATATAGTGATTCTTAAGGAAGGTTTAAATGTATAAGACATGCATATTGTACCCGTGCGAAGCCGGGGCGGGTCGCTAGTTAACAAATAAACTAAACTGTTAATTTCCTTGTCCACAGTTACTAGAACTATTTGACTCTGAAGATCCAAGAGAGCGAGACTTCTTAAAGACGACTCTCCACAGGATATATGGCAAGTTCTTAGTTCTACGGGCGTACATACGGAAACAAATCAATAATGTGTTCTATAGGTAAGTTCTTTTTACTTTCTTTTTTTAATAAGTATACCTCATACTTGGGTTTTGCGTGCTGTGCTCTGCATGTATTTATAAATAATCCCAACACTAGGACCAGTAATTTTTGGAGACAACGAAAAACAAAGACTAACTACATAGTATAAAACAAAGTCACTATCCGCGCGCTGTCTGTCCCCATTTATGCTTAGATCTTTAAAACTACGCAACGGATTTTGATGCAGTTTCTCTTAATAGATAAAGTGATTCTTAAGGAAGGTTTATATGTATAATACATGCATATTGCACCCGTGCGAAGCCGGGGCGGGTCGCTAGAAAAATATATTAAGATGATGATGTACGATTTAGGAACGAAAACTAATAGAATGTTCGTTTCGATATTTGACAAAAAAGTCGAATATCTCGCAGAACTATTCACACACACACGCTCAACAAATATCACTAACACCTCCTTACACCAGCAACTGTTTATTAAATATAATGAAACCTCCTTCAAAGATACGCGATAATAAGACAATGGACAGATTAGATGCTGAGATAAAGATGCATTTAACGAGGAAATACTTACGATTGTATGCGTTGTTAGTTTTACGACCATGTCAATAAAATAGCGACACAAAACATCTGTGTACATATCTAACCATACAAAACCAATATGGCATGGTCCAGCTTTGTATGAGCACTCCGGACATTCGACGGCCAATTTGTACTGGTTGTTCGTAGCTTAGCTGTGTGTACAGGAAACCATACCCATTAGACTATGTGCTGATAAGCAGTGGCGTGCACAGGTTTTCGAGACAGGGTAGGCAATTAAATATCGTATGATTAACCCCCTTTAGATTAAACCCCTCCCCCCGATCATTCAATGACAATCATACTCACACAAGACAGGTACATGTACAGAATACATTTTGAAAAGTGCGTTCACGAATATTGTGGTTTATTCTGTCGCCAAATTACATACACTGACATCTCGCGTATTTTTTGTGAACTACTTCATCAGCTATGGAATAAGCCAACAAAACTTACAAATAATTGAACATCTATTAATTATACTAATAATGAAGCATAAATTTGATGAACCAAATTCAATTATCGAATTGCTAGATAATCTATTCAAAATCATAATATATTACGAATTTAAGAACGTAGGTACCTACCAACAAACAAAACAATAACAAGCGCGGCCGGCTGTGGCCGAGCCGAGTATTTATAAGCGGTACATTTGTTATTACATTACATAATTATTAATAATAAATTAATATGTAAATCAGTACAATCCGAAGTCTAAGTTGATATTTTTAAGAATTATCAAACAAGAAAATCAATAAAAGATCCATTAAAGTACATAATATTTACATTACCTACCTTTGACTTGGGTCAATTCTCGTAACTTGAGTACTGCCTATGGTCATTACCTGAATCTAGTCGTTGTAGGACACATTTTTGCGAAAACTTACTGTTTTTAACTTTCAACAAACACAAAAAATTATCTATTATCAACACAAACTTCACAATCGAATAATATAGGTACTTGTACTAGACACTGATAAACAAATACACTATTTGAAAAACCTACACATACATTTAACTACTTCTACACATATTTATGCAACTTTATGTTTAAAACTAATTCCTTATAATTTAAACGAAAACATAAACAAAGCGATCGCACATCACATGAAAACAATATGGCCGAAAACATTGGAATGAATGAACCCATCGTAGTCAATTGAGTGTTTATTATAAAAAAATTATAGCTATAACATTAAGGCAACCCAGTGTTTAATTATAAAAAAACAAAACGTTAATTTACATAAGTCAAATGGAATTCCGTCATTGTCTTATTATTATTTTCCAATAAGAAACATTCGTTGATAACAATTTGAAACTTTGAGTTATCAAAACGTCAAGTTGCCGCTACTCAAAAGTTATTCCTTTTAACTTTTAAAATAATAAAGTCAACTCCTCGTTTAAAGTTTCTATAAACCGACAACGCGTAAAAATGTTAAGATTTAATTAAAATACCTGAAACATATTTTTTTAGTATGCATAATTATAAAAAGACATTCGCATTATATCGAACGTGTTCAGAAGTTTTAACAAAAAAATCAACAGATGGCGCAGATTCATAAATTTCAAAGGCCGGCAGCAATGACTTTTTTGCGTTTATGAATGGTTATTCTCTGCTGTGACCATAGTCACGTGACCTTCACGCATGCGCGTTGCATACTTTTTGTGACGTCACAACCAACAACCAAGATTTAAGGAATAGTAGCGCATGCGTGGTGCGTGCGGGGCGCATTCATTGCTTTACAAAGGCGTGCGGTCCGTGTATAGTATATGTGAATGTATATTTATGTTAGCCGTTTTTTTACAAACTTTTATTTTATTATTGAATCTTAATAAACGCGTTTGTACATTTTATGTCAAGCAAAGCCTTTTTGCCTATATGGACTGCACGCCACTGCTGATAAGAGATAGAGAAGCAATCTTGATTATGTGCATTGCTTAATAGCTGTCCACTCCTCGAGGTACGGATTTTTTAAAGTAACTACATACATATTTCTTACACTTGGATGTTATGTGGTATTTTTGTCGGATTTTGATGTGTATATTATATACTTGACTGCGTGGTTCTAGGTGTGTTATGTATGTGTAAGAGTAACGTTGGAGTTTCTTGCTTGTTCTTCTCCATTCGAAACTATACTCATTTCATTTCATTTCATTTATTCAATAAACAATTTACATTGTATCTGAATTTCTTCATAATCATAAATTACTTTGCAATATAATCCATGCAGCATGAATCAGTCATATTACTCAAAAAATAAAATCAACAGAACAATTTAAATAATAATAAAACGCGAAATAATCAAATATAACATGAGAAAAATCCAATTTAGAAAGAAATTACATAATTTAAAAGATAAGAATAGATCAATCATAAATTCTTCAGCAACCAAATGATTGAATTAAAATATATGTCAACAAAAACACTGCAATAATACATTACTTCGGAACAAGAGCAAGATACAGGCAGTCGGAGCACTTTACGAACAGATAGACTGACGGATAATTCAATTTTGACGTTTCAAAAGTGCCTTTATAATAATGTAGTTGACTAATTTTATTTTAATGTCCGTCTGGTAGATTATTTAGACACGTATTTATTCTTTTGTTATGGAAACAAATACTTTCGACGATATATTGATTTGAAATATCGCGTGACGTCACTTTAATGTTTTATACAAGTCTACTTCAAGCAGATCGCGACAAATATTAGTATTAGTCCTATTATTTTTCTGTCCATAGTTTTAAGCAAAATAATGTATTATTATTATCTAGTTAATAGTCTAGCATAATTTTACTTTAATATAGTAATAAAAAAAACATTGTAAGTGGAGTACATACAAATAAATTATTCTTATTCTTATACTCAAATGTGACGTAGCTAGCCCCGCCTTAACTTTGATTCGTTGTATTCAAGTATTGTTTTCTTATACGACAAAAATAAAAAAAATACGTGTCTTATATTTTTCATTACCTACTGACGGACTAATTAATTTTTTTAATTTTCATACCCTGTCATCATCTCTATTAACCGCTTGAATGCACCGATATGAGACAGAATAGAAAATACATTGTTTCTCGCGAGGATCCACGTCGATGGAGACGGGTTAACTCGTCGAGTACCGGTTTTGTAGACACAATTATAGAACAATAGGTTGCGGTCACCGGTGACCGCTTGGTGTTTGACAGTTTAAGGATTAATTCAAATAAATACTTGTGACTAAGTGAAATGGTATGTTTTTATTAAAAACAGTCACGGTATACAATAAAATCCTATGGACTAGATAAAACAACATGAAACAAGAATAAGAAACTAATACCTACATGTAATAAGTAATAATCAAGAATAATATAAATAAAAAATAATACAAATTAAATAAATGAATTAATATCACTCGCGATTTCCGCGTCACACTTCTAAGTACTTCAGATTATACGGTAAACCACATTCAGATATAATTCTATTTTAACACCATAACATGCAAAATGGCGCCGCATCTATTTATAAACACGGTAACGTGACAGACAATAATAAATAATAATTACATCTCTGTGTCTATTCACGTGATACTGTTCAGTAATGAAAGCAAGTAGCGACGCTCAGGGTATTATTAAGGTGACTTTTCATTTTAACTCGTTGAGTACCGTCATTATAGACACAATTATAGAATAAGTGGTTGCGGTCACCGGTGACCTCTTGGTGTTTGACAGTTTAAATGTTTTGCTAAGTATATGTGACTCGCTTCTCTCGCTCGCGGCTGTACCCGTTCCCGTGGAATAAAAGCTATAATATGTTATTCTTGACAATAATCTATCCCTGTTCCAAGTTTAATCCCAATGCCTTCAGCCGTTTTGACTTGAATGGATAACAAACTTACACACAGACTCACAAACCCTCGCATTATAATATTACTAGCGACCCGCCGCGGCTTCGCACGGGTGCAATATGCATATAAACCTTCCTTAAGAATCACTTTATCTATTAAAGAAAACCACACTTAATCCGTTGCTGCCGTAGAATGCCGTTGTTGCCGTAGTTTTAAAGTTCTACGCATAGGTACATAGGGACAGACAGACGGCGGATAGCGACTTTGTTTTATACTATGTCACTACATAGTATAAAACATTCAACTTAATAACATACAACTTATAAAACATACTTAACATATAACAAACTTCACTAAGTTACATATACATATAGCAGGAGTTATGGCATAAATAACATACATGTATGTGATCTTCTGTTTCAATGGTATACACTGTGGTTTAAAAACATATAGCAAACGTAGGTTGTTACAATATCCTTATAAAATTAAATCTTCTACAATTTTTGTTCCTTTTAATTTAGCTGTGAGATGTCTAGCCAATAATAGAAATTAACTTAAGAATTTGCTCTCAAAACTTCTAAAACGAATCCTCAACTTGACCTGATAAAGGTAGAAACCTTTTCGTGCCTCCTCGTACAAGGCTCCTTGTGAGGCTGAGGAGTCTAGTGGTTCTGCCTTCTTCTAGCCGGTCGATGTAGAAGTATTTGTAGTATAGTTATGTTGGGCATTGGATGACTTTCAGTAAAATATTTCTGTTTTCTATCCAGGTTTATCTACGAGACAGAGCATCACAACGGTATCGCGGAGTTACTGGAGATCCTCGGCTCCATCATCAACGGGTTCGCGTTGCCGCTCAAAGAGGAACACAAACTATTCTTATTGAGGGTCAGCATTTATTTTTATTTCTTTTTTGTCTAATTGGCTGGTTCTTGGGGGAATATTATTAAATACTCTTCTATTGGCCGCGGAAAGCTGTATGTGTATCAACACTACAGAGTATTACGACATCTAACTCTTTCTGCAGATAATGGTCGGTCAACAGCACTGTCTAATAAAATTGAACCTTGAAATCTGCTCACTGAGCATAGAAATAAGGAAAAATTTTGAAGGCTTCTTGCATTTGGTTTAATGATGATAAAAATGATGCATGATTTTTCTATTCAACTGAAGGTTAATGTTGTATATTCCAGGTGTTATTACCGCTGCACAAGGCGAAGTCCCTGTCAGTGTATCATCCGCAGCTCGCCTACTGCGTCGTGCAGTTCCTGGAGAAGGATCCGTCGCTCACACAGCCTGTAGTTAGGTGCGTTGCTTGTTCACAACTCATTATTATAACAGACTATTTATAGTATCTTAACGTCTATAGCAAACAGGTTGCGCAACATTATGAAGTTAATACAATATTATGCGCAATCAGTTGTTTTGCGCACCGCACTTGCGCAAAAGTGCCATTGAACATAAAACAAATTACAACAATAAAACATATTTCTTATATTTACTTTCAAGTAATTTGTAAATCTTACATTACTTTCAGTTATACTCAAAATACCCATAATACAAACAACTCGAACAAACATACTAAAAATTCACTCCTCTTTAATTTCTAGGGCACTACTAAAATATTGGCCGAAGACGCACTCGCCGAAGGAGGTGATGTTCCTGAACGAGATGGAGGAGATCTTGGACGTGATAGAGCCAGCCGAGTTCCAGAAGATCATGGACCCGCTGTTCAAGCAGCTCGCTAAATGCGTCTCCAGTCCACACTTCCAAGTACGGAAAGAATTTTTTTTTACTTAGTCTTTTTTGACCGACTTCTAATAAGGAGGGACTTCATTACCAGTCTATAATAGGTTGAGCAGTCACTTGTTCCTAACTCAAGAAATTTTTTTGCCTGCACTAATTGCAGGTAGCAGAGCGCGCCCTCTACTACTGGAACAACGAGTACATAATGTCCCTTATCTCGGACAACGCGACGCACATACTGCCCATAATGTTCCCGTCACTATATCGCAACACCAAGAGCCACTGGAACAAGACTATACATGGCCTCGTCTACAACGCGCTCAAGCTATTCATGGAGATGAACCAGAAACTCTTCGATGAATGCACGCAGCAGTACAAGCAGGAGAAACAGAAGTAAGTTATTTTCACAAGAATTACACCCGTTCGGAAAAAAAGAAGTGGCCTATACAGGGAGTATTTAGACCTGTTTGTCCCGTTGCGACGTCAAAGAAACAAACCAACACACTACGTTTATAATAGTAGTAATGAAAGGTATAATTCAAAAATTATGTGAAGTTAGCAGTCTAGTTGTTTATTTTAACCATTGGTTGGCTACAGAGCCATGACTTCATTATGAAATAACATGCATAGCAAACCTGCATATTATATAAAGATTTTAGTTACGTATGGAGACGTCTCATGGAGATGGGTCTATGTCTCATGGAGAAATAAAAACTATGGCGCCACAGATTTGGTTAGGCAACATGTTTAATATACTAATGTTTGTTTCCCTGCAGAGAGCGGGAACGGCTGCAGCAGCGCGAGGAAGTATGGCAGGCGCTGGAGGCGCGCGCGGCCGCCGCCCCCGCCGCGCCGCGCCCCGCCGCGCCGCCCGCAGACAGGGACGACCTCGCCACGCTCACCTACCAACGGATCGAACAGGAGGCGCAGGAGGTAACAGCTTTTACTCGTCTTTTAATACTATTCAACGAAAGGCAGCTGTTTATCTATTCTTAAAATTTTCTCATGTGAACTGTATTTGTGAGTCCCGGTCGTGGCTCGAAATAAGTTTAGCATTCTCGAATAGTTTAGATAGACAAGTTGTATTTTGTTAATAATTTTGTGTCTGTTGCGATAGTTATTGTACCAAAAATCAGTCTGTCGATCGACACTGAAACCAACTATATAAAGCAAATAGGTATTCTCCAGAAACCTATATTAAACCTAAAAAATTTTCCACAGCTCAGAAAACAAGGCTACAATGCTAGCAAACCCCTTCTACGCAAGAAGTCAGAGCTTCCGGCGGACTCTACGACAGTGAAAGCGTTGATTGAGCACAAGCGAGCCGACCCGTACCTGTCCACTCCGCCGGACGTCAACCAATGCTAGCAACACCGACCCAGCCCGCACACATACACGATAGAAAGCTTCACAGCTAATCTCAATGCAGGTGGAATACAAAACATGCCTTAGAACATTTTCTACAGTACCTTTTCGAAGAATAATTTCGCCCACCGTGATACAAAATTGTCTAAAGTGATGCATAAAGCTACAAATTCCACTTCAATGCATTTTGAAAATTCAATGTATGTCAACGGCCTCTCATGGGATGTTTACGACAAATTACCTAATATTATGCCAATACGTGTTTTAAAGTGCCGAACGTTTCGACCGCTGGCAACACCGCGGTCGCCCGAGTGTGCGAGCGAGAGGACGCTATATGAGTGACACGAGTGACGCATTGTGCTCGATATTGATTAGTTAGTACACATATATTATTATGGTAGTGTCCTTTTGTTGATGTTTTATATCCACTTGGGTCGACAATCGCGTTCGGATCGCGTGATCACCGACCAATCGGATGCTGTTCGCTTTTGCGTGCTATCGCCTGATTGGTTGGTTATCACGTCATATAAAATTGCTACTTAATGTACTCAAAGCACTGCTGTTATTGTATTATATTGTAAAAGGAGTTTGTTCGTCGCGTTGTCGACCTTTATACGAAAAGTGATGCAAATTAACATTGTGAGTGGCTGGGATAGAGTTTTCTTTCTGTGGTCTTTCACGAACACATTACATTACATTACTTACCTATCAAGTTCAAATTCTGAACGTAATAAACGTTTCTTAGTTGTTAGCTATATTTCCGTCTCTTTTACACTTGTGACGTGAGACAAATACAGATATACCTAAACCAAATTACTAACTAAGAAAACGTTTATTAATTCAACCTTTTGTACAGATTTACATACATTTTCTCGTAATCCGGTACGGACGTGTGTTCCTAACATTTCATCTTCAATACGCATCACAAGGCGACTCGTTTTAGTTACTCGAAATTTTATTTAAATATATTTTTAATTATATAACAGGTTTATATACCATTCCACGCGCGAACCACCTACGAAATGTTTACAAGAACTTCTTAGCCCAATCGTGTATTTAATTTAAAACTATTTTTAGATTATAATCATGTTGTTTAAAGGCCATACGGTTTTTTAAAACGAGAGAATATCAATTGTAAAGACCAAAAGAAAATATGAATAATCCAGTCTTATGATTGGTCAGTTACATTTGATAAACTCCCGTCTTATATAAAATCTTTAATTTATTGTTTATAATAAACCAAATACATGAACACATGTTTATATTATTGTCTTATATGTTTGACATAGATAGATCTCATTGAGGTTTACACAAAATTATGAACGTGAGTGTGTCAAACTATAGATGTTTTTATATTTTAGTCGAACGAATAACTAAGGCGAGAGTACATTGCACCGTTAGCGACATCGCATATATAAAGATAGAAATTTATTTTAACACATACAAAATGCGTGTCGTAATTACTCTCGCCGGCACGGGAACATATTCAGCTTATACCACAAACACTACCTAATAAGTACGTAAAATAAGTCTCGTTTTAATATAAGATTTGTAATAAAAACGTAATGCAACCGTCTCACGGTAAAACTATTTGATAAATGTCGAGTGTTTGTTCGCTTGTTGCATTAAACTCGCTTGCTACACATTCGCTCATAGGAAATCTAATGCTACATTTACACTCTCGCGTGACTGCACATGAGGTTGAGGTACATTGCAGTCTTATAATACGAGAAACACTACAACTCTTTTAGAATAACGACAATGTATCTCGGCCTCGTCTCGACCTGCGAGAGTGTAAATGTAGCATTAGATACGCATCCAGTATAAGCTTAATATGTTGCCGCCTCGACGTTAACTTAGTTTATTTATACATAACTATGCCTATCTGCCTTTATGAATTATAGTAATCTTACAACTCGGGGCACCCACGGTGATTTATATCGATTTAAGTTTTATTATTTTGCGTGTATAGAGTGCCAAAGGAGTTGTGTTGAAGCCATTTCAAGCAGTCGACTTAACAATGTGTAATGTATGTATAAAATGTATTAGATGAGCTTCGGGAATGAGAGAGTGGATGTGATGAAGAGCACCTATGTATGTAGTAATTTATTTTTTTATTTTAACATAAATAAAATATCCGTGTTATTGAGTGACGACTGAAAGAGAATTATCAAAAGTTGTACGCGAGTATTGGATACTATCGACCATAAATAGATTTTGTAACTTTTATATTTATAGTTGTTTGCAATCATGTATAATGACCTTAATGTTAAATGTACAGTTTCGTGTTATTGGCTCCGCCATTTATAAGCCAGGTTGAGGTAAATGGATTTTTGTACTTGTTTCTTATTGCGAATGTCATTATGCACTTTGAAAGCATTTAGATTTTGCAGCAACCCTGAAACAGCCAGTTTCATAAATACGATCTCATCTTAGCAATTATAATCAAGTTTGAAGACCTTTTACCTAAAACTTCCATTCGGCTTTATTTAGTTGATAGTATCCCATACTAGAATCTACAGTGTACACAGCAAGTGACTGTCGGACAACAAACAATTTTAAAATAAGGTGTAGTATAAAAATAAACTTAAATTTAATGTTAATATGGAATATTTTGCAATACGCTTCTGGTAAGCAAACGAGTGCAATGTTTTGATATACATATAATGTCCCCGGTCGCTTGCTGTCTGTCTGTAGGTCTGTTCGACGCATGATCGACATATGACCTCACTTAGCGAATTATTTGCAAAACGCTGTTCAACAAATTGATAAATTTTGTATAAATATTTATAACGATAATGTAACTGTTGAAAACAAATATTGTAACAGATGACATATTATAAGGTGCTTATGATTATCGTTATAATACAAAGTTGTGCATATAACGTGTGTTTTTTTCTATTGCCCCTTTTACACCTGCTTCCTACCCTAATCCTAAGTTACTTATGCCCGAATACTGAGAGGCTTATTCAATTTTCATCTCAGTCATTTTACAAAGAATTTGTAATGTAATGACAAATCATTTTACGATATGAGAATATTCAGAAAAATGAAATTCATTCTTTGAATTCCCGACCTGGGAATTGAACCTAGGACTTTTTGCTCGATAGACGCTCTTGCTGCTTCTCAAACAACATAAAATTAAATTTAAACATTTTTCAAGGTCAGGAGGATTAAAAGGCAAATTAGAAAATATCAAAAACTCCTCAATATCAAAAATGCCTCCAATTAGACCTCGTTTTTTAAATTTTGTTGAGATTAGATGGGATGAAAACGACCTTGGGCAAATAGCCACTTAAAAAAAATATTTCATATAGGTTCCGATTCTCTAACAACTGTGTCGTGTGCAAAACACAAAAATTATCGACGTCTGAATATCTTGATGCAGAGCTTGAGGCTGAGTCAGGAGCCCAAATCTATACCGGTAACAGGGTTCCTTAGCGGTTCGCACAAGGAAGCTTGACACGAAACGTTTCGTGCGAATGGGTGAAATGTGCACCATTAAGGATGGCGCTCTGCCGTTCGTTGGCTGTCAACGGCTGTCTGCCGTATGATGGTGAAACGGACTAGGGGGAATAAAGTTGTGCAATTCCCACGCACACACCCCGAAAGGTATCCAAATATATAAAGGTAGAAGACCGAAAGGCTTGCGACTACGCCTGTGTTCGAGGCCGAGCCTCCATAAGCGAATCATCATCAATAGGTATGGTTGGATACAATGAGCTAAGGGTTAGAAGGGATCTTGCATTAGCTTTATATGTATTTACATTGCTAAGAGGGAAAGTGCATAATGCAATTATTTTAAGCCAGGTGAGTCTGTATGTTCCGGACAGGTACGTGTGGCGACGACGACAGCCACGACTGCTGGTGGAACCGCGTTCTCGGACTAACCTTCTGAAGGACGCGCCGCTGACGCGTGCGTTCCGCACGCTCAACCTCATAGCGAGTGAGACGGACTTATTCTACTGTTCTCTGAGTGAATTCACAAGGAATGCTTTGTTTGTAATTAGTTATAAGCAATAAGTCAGGATTAAATAGGTCGCATTTATCGCATTGGGTCATCCTGTAATGGTAAATGTAAGTAAGTAAATAAATAAATAAATCATTGATGAGCCTTTTGGTGCGCCTTTCGATGGATTCAAGGGTTTCCAGCTGGCATTTTTTAGCCGAGCCATCCCAAAGATGGGAGCAGTACTCCACACACGACCAAACTTGTGCTTGGTAAAGAATGAGCAGTGCTCCGGTGTGAAGTACTTACCGTCTCACCCTCGACAGGGCACCTAACTTCCTTCTAACCAGTTGCACCTTTGATTCAATATACGAACCAAAGTTGAGAGTGGGCGTCAGAGTTACGCGGAGCTCAAGATGGTCACCTTTCAGAACTGACACACTTCGGAAAGTAGGAACCGACGCCGTTTTGCGGAGAATAAATACGCCTGGGTTTTATTGGCATTGAACCTGATCAAGTTGGCGGCACCCCAATCGGAAACCGCTTGCAAGGACAGGTCCAGGCGTTCTACTATAGACGCACTCAGAGACTGGATTTGAGTTGCACTGGTGTGCAATAATAAAGTTAGTTTGTTTGGTTGAAGGCGCTAATCTCTGGAACTAGGCACTGATGGGTTCGAATTGAAAAAGTATTTTTGTGTTGGATAAGTCTATAGACTTATCTTGTTCCTATAGGAAATATGTAGGTAAACACTACTATAGTTACACTGGCTAGATGTAGTCTCTAAAACATGCTTAGAACTGAGTCAGGACTGTTTAATGTTTCAGATACCTCTGGAGTTCCTTGGTCTTCTCCTTAGTAATCTACTCTTTGGTACGAGCAAATAGCTTCACTAAAGGACTGACCGACAGACTGGCATTTTTCATTGTTTTCACGTTCAAAAGTGCCTTCCTGGTCTAATTGAAATAGACTTTTGACTTTGGAATTATTTTATGTATTAATGTCTTTGAAAGTAATCCTGTAGTAGCACCTTTGCGAAAATCACCTAAATCATCAGTGATTTTGTGTTATATAATATTCTAGGATTGCCAGATGAAAGAAAACGAATATAAGTATTCAAAACTATTTATTGATAATTTATTTCCTTTTATTTATACATTATATGCAACGACCGTTTGCGAATGGTTTGGTACACCTTTTTTTAATAGAAATGCATTATAATGCCATTTCATCATACATATATTATCAGATGTACCAAAATACTCGCATTATACATTTTATACACATAATTACATATTCATAGCATACCGTATATTTGTTTATAATAATATATTATACATAACTTAATGTAAACAGCGTTAGAACCTTTACTAGTCTAGCTTGTGGATAATCTCAATGACTTCAGCCAGTCTTAATAAGTAATAGACAAATCTATAGTCACGGTACTCCAACCTGGAGCTGCGGACCCGTCTAACGGTATACCGGAGCCTCGACTCAAAGCAGGAGTAAGAACGGGGTGGTTTTAGTCAGAAAGAGTCTGACAGCCCAGCTTATAAAATAATGATTAAAAAAAAGTCTGACACTTCTCACACTCGCCTCACGCGATGGGACAATTCATTCAAGATTTCCTCCCTAAAAAGATTACTGAGACTGGCTGTGTAAAGATTCTCAAATAGTGAGAAATCAATGTTGGTATTTTCACACAAATCATGGTATATTTATTATAGGCAGACAAAAATAGCAGTTTATGCGTGAGTTATTGACGTTGATGGGTCCAAAAACTCTTGCCTGGATATAAGATTGGAATTGCAATATTATCATACAAATGATGGCTCATAAAAAGTACAGCCAAATTCTGTACGTTCACATATACATACATAATTTATTTGTTAAACCAAAATGTACAAAACAGAACAAATTAATTGCTGACAATTTTATCAATAAATAAAAGTATACAATACATTTTTACTCTACATTTCCAATGGTTTAATATGAGTAAAGAATAGCCGAAAAAAAAACAAAATCACCTAAACTAAAGCACGAATCACTAGCCGAATTTAATACGATTACCTAATATGTATAGTTTGTATACTATATACATTAGTTAGGCCACAATGTTTCTCGTTAACAATACAATTGTTTTGGTGATAAGAATGCAAATTATTCCGAGACTAGACTTAATATTTTGACGTAGATTGAGGAAGCATTTTGTAATTCAAATATAAATTTATAATTAGGACCTGTTCTTAACCGACTTCAAACAGAAAGAAAGGAGGTTCTCAGTGTGACATATATGTATACTATTTGTGCGCGATTATCTCGCGAATGGCTAAACCGATTTTGATCCAGTTTTCAGAAAAGTTTAAGTATTAACTAAAATCACGCGTTACTCACGTGAATGTACTGAGAAAAGCTCTACTAGTTTCGAACCACAGAGGGGTTCTTTCTCATGAGCAGCGTGCGCGGTCGCGGCGACTAGTAGAGCTTTTCTCAGTATATTCACGTGAGTAACCCGCGATTTTAGTTAATTTAGTATGTCTCACGATAGTTATTATAAAAAAATTAAGTATATTAATTAACCGACTTCAAAAAAATAGGGGGTTGATGTCGGTTTTTTAAATACATACATACATATACAATAACTAAATAATTTGGTGTTAATATACATTTTTCATATGAAATGTGTGAAATATGTATTAGTTCAGTTGATAGCAACTATATCAAACATCCAGGGTTGCGGTTAAAGCGTACAAGTAGATGTTAACATGGCCCCGGTTTGGAGCAGGAATTGTAACACGGTGATTTTAAGTCAGCAAGAGTCTGACACACTCCCGCCTTACTCAGAACGAGAGGATATATTTAATGATTTTTCAGTCATAAAACATTTCATTAAAGGCTGTGAAGCAGGTCCTAAGACTTTGACTACGTAATGTATATTTATCATTAAATTATCCAGTCACTATATGAGCGCCAAAATATTGATGCAAACTAATTTCATAAAACAAATATCATACAATTTACACCAGACATTATTCAATATATAATTACCTAAACACACGTAAATATTTTATAAACTTTATACAATTTGCCGGGTGTACATCTTTATTATAATTCAACGAACATTTTAACAATTTTTACATTTATACAATTTTTTGTGACAAACATTTGAAATGTGTAAATGTGTATAGAAGAGTAGAAGTTTAAAATGGAGATAGAGAAGAATGATTATTGATGTGTTTGGAATAAAATTGTAATTTGAATGACAAAACTGATGAATAGTGGGTATTACATTGACTGTGTTCACCTCTGTCTACCCCAGATTGTTAGGAATGTAAGTAAAATACACTAACTTTTTTAATGAACAAATCTCAATAATACATTGTTAATACCAGTTTTATCCCCCATACATCCTGAAATACCTATTCAGCTCATTTCTTGACACAAGTAGGTTTACCAAGGTGCAAATTAAATATCTAATTTTCATTTTAATAAATAACACACAACATATAAATTTAAGAATCCAAGAGGCACGTCAAATATTCATAAACCTGTCTCTTGTCAGAAATCGGTGTACACCGATTGCTTTCGGAGCCAACCGGAGTCCGTAACTTTCGAGTTTGTAGTCGTAAATATTTTTGAACATACTAAGTTAACTTGATTTTATATACTTCGTTCACTGTACATTATGGTCATATGACCATATATTATAAACATTTTTATACACGATAATATTGACAGTATACAATATGTATGTATTTATAGGACTTATTTGAGACGAAAGGTGTTAAATATCGACCTTATGACCCTTGACTTAAAAGTGACTAAATAAAAATCTTACCAGCCCCTTTTTACGTTATCCAGCCCGAGACGGAGCCTTTAAATGCAATGGCATAGGGTTTAATATTCGACATTCAAAATTATATTTTTAGCAACTAGAGGCGCTAGTATAGCTTAAGATCTATTACTCAATACAATATTAGTTAGTAACAAGGCATTACTCAGACAGCTAAGTTGATTGGTTAAATTGTCTTTACACCTAACTAGCGCCATCACGGAAACCTTCATTGAAACAAATTACTGATGTAAGACCTACTAAACTCATAAGATGTATAGTCCAAGGTAATAAGTACCTTATCTCAAGGTCATAAGTCACAAATCACCTTTCACCTCCCATCCTAGCAGCCTAGTTACTTCTTCCTAGTGTTAAGCGCATGCTTCAGTAGTTGTATCTCATCGTGTTGTCTCGTCAGTTGCTCGTTGAGACCTGCCACGTGCTCCGTCAGAACTGACATCTGTTCCTCATAGTTGTGCGACGTTGAATGGAGCTCTTCTTCCTGTGGGGAGAAACAATGAGGTATAAGTAATTTTCACACAGTAGAACGCCATATTTCTAAATTCCATGCTATTTACATAGTCAAAATACTGCCTGCGAGTGGTCGCAAGTGCGACTGCCGGGCAAGGGGTCTCGAGTTCGATTCCCGGGTCGGGCAAATTATTACTGCGTTTTAAAAAAAATCTCAGTAGTAGCACGGAGTCTGGAATTGTGCCCGGTATATGGCAATAGGCTCACCCCCTATTACATGGGACTCATAACATAAATAGTGAAAAGTGGGTGTTACATTGTACAGTGGCATAATGTACACCTCTGCCTACCCCTTCAGTGATAAAAGGCGTGATGTTATGTTATGTTACATAGTAAAAATTTTCATAGAAAAAAATACGTATCCAGCCCGGGAATCGAATCTGAGACAGTATTGTACCATAGATATGTTAATCAATAACTATAATATGTTATTTACACCATTTAAGTATTACACGACCTCATTCAACCTCTTGCTATCACCAAAACATTAACATCGACTGTACGGTGCGCACGCGCATGACTCACCAGTCTACTGATAGTGTTGTGTTTCTCACTCAACGTGTGCTCGTTGCTCTGTTTATCTCTCTCCATCTCTTCGAACCGGAGTCGTAACATCTCACACTGTTGGAAATTATCATTAGTTGTTATATGATTTGGGATAATAGTCCTTATACCATACGAGATACAGATTGTTAACCGTAATGAAAGGTAATGCAATTCACATTAAAAAAGTACAAAAGGAATTAGGATTTAATAGTCCAGCATAGATTTAAAAATAAAGCCTTATAAAGGCAAAATAATAAGGTTCTTTTATCTATAGATATAGAGTCCAAAATCAAACCAAACTTACCTCTTTAACATAATGTTCAGTCTTACTCTTCAATTCTTCTTTTTCTATCTTCAGTTCGCTAATCTTATTCCTAAAGTATGTCTTCATTCTTTCTTCCCTGGTCTCTATTTCCTGGGTGAGGAGGAAGGGTACCTGGAGGCTACCCAATAGACCTGTGACCCTGCCCTCAGCATCCACGGAGGTCTCCCCAAAAGTATTGAAATCACCGGAATCATGACCATCCCCTCTCCTCTTTTGTGAAGCGGACACATACTTTGCTACCTCTAATTTCAGACTCTCGTTTTCCATTCGAAGCATTTCGAACTCCATTTTTAGTTTTTGGTTTTCCTGAAATTCGTTTTTAATGAATTATAATCTTTTATTTTTATTTTCGATGGACCGGCTTTTGACCACTATCTCGCGTAATGACAAGTGATCAGTGGCGTGCACAGGTTTTCGAGACAGGGTAGGCAACTAAATATCGTATGATTAAACCCCTCTCCCCCCGCCGGTCATACAATCATGCTCACACAAGATAGGTACATGTACATAATACATTTCGAAAAGTGCGTTCAAGAATATTGTGGTGTATTCTTTCGCCAAATTACATACACTGACAACTCGCGTATTTTTTGTGAAGTACTTCATCAGCTATTGAATAAGCCAACAAAACTTACAAATAATGAAGGATCTATTATTTATTTTAATAATAAGGCATAAATTTGATGAACCAAATTTCATTATGGAATTGTTTAGTTTAATCAATCTGTTCAAAATCATAATATATTACGAATTTAAGAGCGTAGGTACCTACATTATGTCAACAAACAAAACAATAACAAGCGCGGCCGGCTGTGGCCGAGCCGGCCGAGTCTATGCGGTACATATGTTATTACTACATTACATAATTATTAATAATAAATTAATATGTGAATCAGTACAACCCGAAGTCTAAGTTGATATTTTTAAGAATTATCAAACAATAAACAAGAAAATCAAATAAAAGATCCATTATAGTACATATTTACATTACCTACCTTTTACTTGGGTCAATTCTCGTAACTCGAGTACACCTCTGCCTATGGTCATTACCTGAATCTAGTCCGATAAAGGACATTTTCTTGCGAAATCTTACTGTTTTTACTTTCAACAAACACATAAAATTACCTATTATTCACACACACTTCACAATCGAATAATATAGGTACTTGTACTAGAAACTGATAAACAAATACACTATTTGAAAAACCTACACATATATTTAACTACTACTACACATTTATGCAACTTTATGTTTAAAACTAATTCCTAATAATTTAAACGAAAACATAAACAAAGCGATCGCACATCACATGAAAACAATATGGCCGAAAACATTGGAAACGAATTGAAGTCATTACCAATAGTCAATTGAGTGTTTATTATAAAAAAATGTAGCTTAAAAATTAAGGTAATGCAGCGTTTAATTT